GAATTATTTTAATACTTTCATGGTTAGTAATTTGAAATTAAAAAAACACCATTCTCTATTTAAAAATATGAGCTTTTTCCATCTCTTTACGTATAAAATTGATTAATTTACAAAGGAATAACATCTAAATTGATTTTTAATAAGAACAATTGGTCGGGTAGGAGGAAGGGGATTTAGGAATGCTTGGGCTCAAATTTAAGATTGAGTGATACATGACTTTGAAGTCTTATACCACCCCATTAGGAGCAAAGTTATAGTATTTTAATTATAAGTTCCGGTACACAATTTATAAGGGCGTTTGGATTGGTATTTTCTAAACAATTACCAATTATTGGTTCTAATTAAATAGATTAAATATTTTAAATTATAAAAAATATTAATTATTAATTATCAGATATTAATCATCAACTATCAAATACATTTAAATAATTAATCCAAATGTCTCTTATAATCAATTTGTAATTTAATATTTTAATTGAATTTTCATCTAAGAAAAGGCAGAAATTCAATTATGTATTCTAAATTGCTTATGGTCAATGTTCCAGTAGGTAGTGGTACTCTCCATCTGCAAAAGATCTAGATAGATCTGAGTCTGTGTAGTATGCTGGCAAAGTAGGATACAGTGTGGATATTACATTCAATATTGTGTAACCCACAATTGAAGGCAAACTTATATATATATTAAACTTCTATGGCCTTTGAATTTGTATCTTGCCATTATTTATCATAACAATGGTGCCCCCAGCAATTAATAATGAGTGTGATTTTCTAAAGCGTCTTATAGGGTGGGGTGGGAAGATAAGACACATATTTAGCTGTTAAATGATATCAATATGGTCCTTTGGAATTGGCCTTGAGCGATAATTCTCCTTGAATTGCCAGTATAGTATTGCTTTCCACATGGAGTTGTTACAACTTCAACTCCTACTATGCTAAATAGGTCACAGCCTAGTGTTTGGTTGGTGAGAAACACATGCTCCACTCATACCATCTGGCAAATAAAAACTAGATGTACGTAGCAATCTTTTCATAACTTATGTTTTCTTGTCATCTTCAGTTGTTATTATTTTTCCTAATAAGTTTTTTTTTTTTTTTCCAATCTATTTGGATTCCCCTACCATAAATTAGCAATTACCCAACTACGGTAATTTCAAATGTGATTTTATATATAAATTGAAAACATTAATTGTATTTAAGAACCCTTACTTGATAACTTAGACTATTAAATAAAATGTTCTTAACATGTTTTTTGGATATGATTTTTTTAATCAAAATAGTTTTGTATTTAAATCCAAAACTTAAGCTTTCATACAGAGCAATTATAAACCATGCATATATGATAATATGAATCATTGGCATTACAACCAAATTCAACAAAACACATAATCTTGAAAACAAAGTCATTTTCAAACAATTCAATCCAAAAAAGATTGAGGATGGGATTTGAATGAGTCAAAATAAAATTTCCCACCATTCTCCAACAATTCAATCATCTCTTCTTTGTGGATTTTCTCTCTCAAAGACTAAAGATTCCTTTTTGATCATCTACCTCTTTGGAATGGGGGGCATTTCTCTTCTTTTGGTAAGAGGTGTAATCGATAGGAATGGCAAGTAAGTCAACCATGATGGCCAGTCATTTTTCACCTACTGAAATGCTCATAAATTTTTTTTCAATTTCTCTCCTTTTCAAAAGTTAGTTTGGAATATTTTTGCTATCTTGTCTGATCCTGCGCACTATTTTGACCTTCTCAGATTCCCCTAAGCCTGACCCTACTTGTCTCCAATCCCTTAACCAGAGATCATTGGGTAAAATTTGCATTCTTATCTCAACCTTATCCGGTTAGAGTTTTCAATCTTGTGAAAAAACCAGTTTCTACAGTTGGAGCTTTGGAAAGTTTCAAGCTCAAATTATTCGTCTTTGGAACAAGCACAAGCTCATTGTAAATCGAAAAAAAGTATAACTAAGAAAAGTTCTAATTTATGTTTTGTTAAAATTAAATGCTCTTAGAGTTTAAATTAAAACTTTAATTTACGAAGCGAGCGTATAATCGTTATAAACAAAAAAAAAAAAAAAATGAGACAAGCTCGATCTCAGAGCCGCATGCACTGTCAGTCAGTAGAATTTAAGCTGCAATTCCTATATTTTCCCCGGCCCTGATATCCCAGTATCCCACCAAAGAAACTATATATAATCCTATATAAACTGCTCTATTAATTAAGAAAAAGGTATCCTTCAGATTCTTACACCCTGTTCATCATATTACCAGAAAGATTTGTCCCTAAATCCATATTCAAAATCTGTGCTAGGATGTGTATTGTCCGTTCAAAGCAACACAATTTGCAGAAGATTAGATGCTGCAGAAATCTACTTGTTTTCTAATCATGGGGTTTTTTTTTTTTTTTTAAAAAAAAAAAGGAAAAAACCATCACTTTTAAAGCAGAATAAACTGACTTGTTTTAGAATGTTGAGGCCATGTGCTGAACCATGTAAAAAAATAATAAAGCAAAAGAGTTTTCACTTTCTTTTCCCTTCCCTCGTGGGGATAGAAGATTTCTGTTTGTTTGCTTTTTCTCTTTTCCTTCAACCTTTTTGTTTCGCTTTAACAATTTACTGTGTGAAAGCCAACCTTGAAACTTCCTGTTCCCAAGCTTTTTTTTGTTAGCAGTAAAGAAAGTTTTTCTTTTTTTGATATATTTAGGAATGGGAGATTCGATTCCAACCCGTCTGTTTTGTCTAACTATAGTTTTTGGGGAAGTTTTATTCGAGTCTTTAAATTTCGAAAGTATGAATTATAAATTTATATTAAATAATTATAAAAAAAAATAGTACCGATTAATTTTATTTTTTTAAAATTAAAAAAAAATAAAAAATAACTTAATTTATACTTTAAAAATAAAATATTTTAATTTTTTAATAAATATTTATTAAAATGACGTAATTTTAAAAAATATTTTTTTTAATATTTACGAGATAAAACAGATAACATTATTTTTTAAAGAAAATTATAAAAATTGATAAAACTATCAGATTCATTTTAATCTTCATCTTAAAAACCATGTTTAGTTATGCTTCAACTTTTGTGGTTGATGATAAGCAATAGTGCTTGTTGTTGGCTAATAAATTAATATTTAACTATTTAAAATGTTGTTTGGACTCTGAGCTTGTTTCCAAAAATGAAGATTTTGAAATTATTGACTACTACAAATTATGGAATTAAGCTCTAAAAGGAAATTAATGGAGAAATTAAGATTCAATCACCATCAACATCATTAAGAAAAAGAAAACTAATTACATTGATTAGTACTTGCTTTTTGAATGAAAAATAAAAAAGAAGAAAAAACACCTAGAACATGTACCCATTAGCGATGGCTTGATTGGTTTTGAAATTAGTAGTTTCATACACTGGTAATTCCTCCCTGTACCTTCCAATTCCGATCAAGTGATCCAGCTCGAAGAGATCAGAGCTTGAACAACTTGCATCATCTTCATCTTCTTCTTCTTCATCTTTGTAGTTATAATGGAATTCCCTTGTGCCCTTCTTTTGATAATGTCTTAGATAAGCAGATTCTTTCTCCATGACGAAATTCTTGAGTCCATCCTTTCGGGTTGAACTTTTAACAATTTTTTGTTGGACGGATGGTGTCGGCATTAAGGTCGGATCTTGTTCATAGATGCATTTTTGGCCGCAAGGTCTGCTATCTTCGTCCACGATGACACTAACTGGGTAAAATTTAACTGACCTTTTCTTCCGATTTCCTCTTGAAGACGGTGATTTGCTCAAACAAGACCGTGAAAATGAAGCAGCCGATGACGAGCGTGTAGATTTGGATTTCTGTTCATCAAAGCAGACGTCGTCCATGGCTCCTACCGAGCACATCTTCACTTTCTTGGCATTACCGTTGAAAATAGAGTTTAAGAAGCTGGTGATGCGACCGCCGGGGGAAATGGGTTGCTTCACCTTCTTCAATTCTCCGTATATTTTCAGCGCTTTCAGCTTCGTCTTCGTAAACCCTCCTTCTCTCTGAGGCTTCTGTTGTTTCCCTTCAAATTCCATTTGTCTGCGATCAAACAACAAACATTTGTCGGGCCTCACCGGCGCCGACCTTCTCCTCGATTTCTCCCTCTCCCTGCAACTCGACTCTGCTTCCGACGAGGAAAACGCAACACCGGAGCTAGAATCAGATGAACTCGAAGACCCAACGCTAGTCTTCTTCTTCTCCACCCAATTCTCAATCATAATTGCCCGGGCAAGACTGGAGACCTTCTCCTCTTCCCAACAGGAACCAATGCCCTGTTTCTTCATCACGGTCGTTTCTCTGTAATGACAAGATGTTGACTCATAACCAGCACCATCGGATTCATCAATGGAACGGTAAATGGCGTCGAGAAGAGAAGCAGAGAAAGAAGGGGTTCTC